CAGTAAACGGGAACTTTGGGTATCTTTTATCTTTAATGGGTCATTAAGAGATTGTATTACTGCCAATGTATATATGCTCATTGAAATATTTCTATCTTGTACTTTGGAAACATGGCGATAAATGGTGATTATTATCCTACTTCAAAAATTTTTTTGAACTCGGACATGTGGCTGAAACCTTCTAAAGTCAACAGACCCTACAGCTGTCAAACTGAGATTTAGGGTCAAACTTGTATCGGAACAGCTTGCATCTGCCACGAAATATGACCACATTTCCGACGGGAAATTTTCACTTTTCAAGGCTAGAGGAACATATTTCTATCCTCGGCAGTAGGTGGGGCCTACAGGTTTCCCGTTGTAAACATAGTCCACTGAAAAACCTGAAGTTAAAGCTGAAAAGGTGTAATCACTCATATTTAGGAGAGCATTTTAAAGTGCGCCTCATGAAGGTTTGAATATGAAAAGATTCACTGGCTTATAAAGTAGTTCTCGACATCATTGGCCAGTGTGCATACCACACAGCCTAGCAATGATTCACATCTTTCCGTCTTTGAATTTTAATAATGTCAACCTTACTGCGCAACCCGGCTGAGGCTCAAAGTGCCCGCGCAAATTTTGGAAGTTGATCTTAGCTAAAATGGTCCATTTGACATTACAATGCCTTTTAAGAACATCCTGGGAAAGACCTACCTGAATTGTCAATACAATGGTATTTAAGGGATTCCCTGCAAACATGTGTTTAACACAATCATGTCGAGAAACTTTGGGCTCTACTTGTTTCTTTTACTTCATACTTTCACTGTCTCGTATGGTGTTCCCATTCCCCACAGTGAAAGTTTGCCCAATGAGAGTAAGCATTCATTTAGCTACCTATGCTGAGATGATTTTCTGATACCATCCTGTGGAAAAGGTGAATATCCAGAAACCTGCAGATCTCTCCCAGATTGCACATGCCTTTCTGTTATAGGTTGCCTGTAAGTTGTCATTCGTTACTACTCCTCAGAAGTTTTATTATTGGTATCATAGGCCACAATCCTAAACTATTTGCAGAGCTTTGCCTTTCTGCTTATATGTGCACATAATTACAAGTACCACCATAATAGTGTTTGTTAATGCAGCTGGATGCCAATGTTTGTGTAATTTATTGAAAATTTACTGCCTTTATTAGGCTTTAAATTAATGAGTACTTGTAGTATTCGAACTGAGACCTTGGGAACTTTAAGATTTATTGTGCCCAATTTTTTCGTACGTCTAGCGGCTCTCCAAATGATTTAGGCCCAACGCGCCACGAGGAGGCGTCCCCATGGCCGAGAGATGTATTTCTGATGTGCGTGAGAGTATGGCTAATACAAGGTCCAAGTAGTACAAGAGTAAAATAATCTGCAGACTGAGGCGAAACAAAGAAAGATGGCAACAAAAAGTAATATTACACCGAGATACTGAAGCAATAAGATAACATGGGTTGGGTGGGAGGGTAGACGAAACACTCAAGCTACTGGATACATCAAAAAGATAAGTGAGAAGAGGTCCATACAATAAGAGATACGTACCTGGGTACAGCGGACGATGAGTGAAAAGAGGTAAGGAACCTCGTGCGTCACGCTGTACCCAAAAAAGGCAGTGTTGCCGAAATTTGCCGAGCGCGGCGGCGTAGTGTTGTCCATAGACAACGTGTGCACAGCGGTGCAAAATAAACCTGTAGCGACAGGTTGAAAATCGTGCAGTGGCACAATTTGCGCATGCGGCGCGGGCATATATGCGTTGCGACGCAGCCCTATGAGTCGAAGTCGGGCCTAGGACTACCGACTATTGATCTAGGTAAATAAAATATTTACCGTCGACCAATTTTTTCGTACGTCTAGCGGCTCTCCAAATGATTTAGGCCCAACGCGCCACGAGGAGGCGTCCCCATGGCCGAGAGATGTATTGCTGATGTGCGTGAGAGTATGGCTATGGAGCCTATGGAAGATAATGATTTTTGAGTTATGATGTGAACGAATGCACATCAGAGTGATAGACGGGCCAAAAGGAAGGAGGGATTTTTTCGGATATAGATGAGGAATGTTTTCGAAGTCCAACGACCAGCGACTTGGATCAGATCGAGAGGAACGCCAATTTCGGCAAGGCCAGTAGCCCCTCCGGAACGAATAGATTGGCCTGCTACATCGGGGCGGTTGTAAAGCTTATTGAGCTTGCCAATAAACCAAGTTCGGTTGGGGATGTTTGAGCCAGAGTTGCCAATGGGCGGGAAACAAACTGTCTCGAGATCTGATATAGTTGACAAAATGAATATAGGGGTCGATAGAGGTAGGGAATAGATGATGACGACGGACAACGACTTTGTTGCCCTCGAAAAAAGCGTCAGCTTTATGGTGTGGCAAATCAAAACCATATCCATTGAGGAACCATTTCACCGAATCTCTGCGTGAAGGTTTTCGGAGGTTTTGGTGTTTTTTCATATCCGGAAGACAGAGCTCTGCGAGACGCAATAGGACGAACCAGCCACTGAGAAGCTGAGTGAGAAATAGCAAATCGTCATGTTCATGACTGCTCCCGAATTCGTTGATTGCTAAGGAAAGGTCGGAGGTAGAGAGGGGAGCTTTTCGAACAACTGGTTTACCGTACAGGCGACGACAACCACGCAGTGCCTTTCGCATGAGACGGTGATTACGGACAGAACGAGCATCCTCGTAGAAGTCTTCGAGTTCATTACAGATACCGGACAAGTATTTGGACACAGATTTTGGGTCAATGGACTGCACATCGTTGTTGCATAGCCAAACAATATACTTGCAGAAGAGCTGTGGAGTCGGTTTATAGGGAAACTGGTGCAGATCACAGAAGGTAATGTAGGAATTGAGGGCAGAAACATACGAAGAGTGTGTCGAAGAATCAACTGCAGCACCAAAAGTGATAGACAGCTCGGAGCGGAAACGCTGCTCAGACCAAGGCTTTCGAGGGGGTTGCCTTGATCCAGCTGAGAGATAGATATTCATTTTTTGACGGCCCCCAACGCATCCCGAGGGGGTAGTAAGGGAAGGCAAGAAGAGGTATGGTGAAACCCTGAAATCAGCGGTGAACACCAAAATGTGATATTTTCAAGTACAGAAACAACCACCACCACCAAACGAGAAACCACCAAACGACACCCTGAAATCAGCAATGCCATTTGGATCACCAATCCCCACCAAATCACCACCACCACCAAGAGGGGAACCTCTGAACGACGCCCTGAAATCAGCAACAACATCCAGATGACCAGTCCCTGCCAAATCGCCAACCTATTTTTTCTCGCTCTTTTCATCTGGACATTCATGAGCACCATGACCACGACGACGACACGATGAACAAATGTGAGCAAAACTGCAACCACCCGTGCACTTCCCCACGTTCCACCGCATACAAATCTGAACAGTTGGTATTTTACCCTTACCAGCCTTCGAGTTAGAAACGGAAGCCACATGTGAGCTTTCAGTGACAAAAGAGCCATAGCTCTCGACGTGAGACCGGTATGCATTTCGAAACTTGTCAGAATTGATATCTGCAAGTGAGAGCTTCCCCTGGCTGGCGACCAAGTTTCGGACAGCTTTGTCATAAGAGATGATGCGAGGGTGTACTGACATGTCAAGGGAGAGGAAAAGGTCGTTAATGTGAGTCTCATAGGTGTCCAACTCGTGGGCACGATTTGGGAACAAGAAAAGAACAGCACGTTTATAGAGACGGAAGGCCTTGTTCCACTGAGACTCGGTAGCAACTGTCTTCGTGATCTCAACATCGGAGCCAATCCTGACCTCCAGCAGCCCGAGCTTCTCCTTATGAGATTTTGGAATAGTAGGAGAATGGATACTTGAGAGGATGGCATCGAAATCGGAGACTTTGTTCTGGATAAGAGAGTTCCATTCCGCGTCTGGGAATTCAGGGCGAGAAACGGAATCCTTGAGGAGGCGTTTAAGGTGTTTACCACCCCGGCGGTAATTGGATGCGAGGATGCGAGTTTCACGAACTTCAGGAGAGAGTGAACCCAAAACAACCTTGTCTTTTGCAAGAAAGGGAAGTAGTAAGCGATCAAATTTCGAGCTCGAAGTTTCACCATCAGAGGAAGAAGAGGATGACGAAGACGAACTCCCTTCAGGGCTCTCACAGCGGTGGTGGCGACGACGCTGATGATGCCTTTTGTTTCGAGTGCTACCCATGGTATGAGTGAAACGAGTTCCAGGATCACCGACCAAGCCTTCTTGACCCTCAGGAACTGGTGCCTCGACTTGAGGTGAAGCGGCTCTCCTAAGATTATCTCCTGAAGATTGACCTCTCGCCGCAGCAAGAGCTTGTTCATTGTCGAGAGATTCGATTTGCGAGAGCCATGAACGGACAACGGATGCATTTCCACCAGGTATATCTGATGGGACTGACAAACTAGAAACAATGACGAGGATGTCCGTCTGAGCCGAAATTCGGTCAATCTTGTTATCACGGTACATGTCAATGACACCTTGCAGTTTGCGAACTGTTTCAGTGTCAAAAGCAATACCCGTGGGTGGATTTTGTTCCTCGTCAAAGGCCTGAGCTGTAGCCTGCCCGCTACTACCTTCATTTGAGATAGGGGCCTGAGTACCGGACTGACCGGAAGCTCCAGTGATGAGCTGCGTGAAAGTAGGTCCAGAAATAGCTTGCGAGCTTCCTGGAGGAGCGACTGGACTCGAACTCGGATTCGCATGAGAAGAAAGAGTGTTGCTGCGCCCATCACTAGAGTGAGACATTTAAGGAAATGAAAACGTCGACAGTTTGATGTATTCGAAGAATGAATATATAGGCGAAAACACTCGAGCTACTGGATACATCAGAAGAATAAGTATAAAGAGGTTCATACTATAAGAGAAACCTACCTGCTGCATCGGGTGTTTCAAAAGGCGCTTATCTGAGTTTTTTGATCCTGGGTTGACATTGTATGCAAATTCTTACTACACATTGTCTCGAATGAGAAAAAACCGACAGCATTCCAGTGCCCACTGGCTGGATTGAACAACCGACCTCACCATCGATTGGGTGGAATTTTCATACGAGTGGCGCGCTCTACCACTGAGCTAAGCGGGCATCGTGTATCAGATAGAAGGGCGGGAGGAATGGAATGGAAGTCTGTAAACAGAGTCGTACGATCGGAACAGGATTATTTCATTGGTTGGGGCAAGGTAGCTTGAAATGAGGTTTCCACGAGGCTGCTTGCCCTTGAGTTTCCCCGAGATTCCTTCAGAGGAACCCCCAATCACATCGGACGTGGATGTCGGAATGGATAGGGCGGGGGTGTCGGGGACGATGGGAGGTTGGTACCTGAGATAAAGAAAGCCACTGATAGTGATAAGATTGTACGGGCGTCATTTCAGCTTACTACCATGGCAACTCGTGAATCATGTTCTTGGAAAATCACTCCCCCAACAGTATAGAAATGTATGTCAGGAATGACGCTATTGTCCCCAACATTCGTGGAACACGGTGAGAGAAGGAGCAAAAAGCGCATGTCAAAGGTGGTGACGTCAGAAAGTTCCGTCGGGATAGGACACGTGCTAGACGTCTCACCAGCACGGTCATTTCTCCGCAACGAGCACCTTCGTTTGAGAACAGCCATGGCCACGATTTCTGTTTCCTCCTCAAGTGAGGTGTCGTCACCAGAATCTGTGTACAATCGGCATGAGCGTGCCTCGGTAAGGATATTTCTTGTGCTTAAAATGCATAGCTGATGATCTTTCAGAGGCTATTCACTTCCCAATGTGCCTATCGCCGTAGTGCCTACTGAAGCGACTCTGGTCCTCGTCAGTCTCTGCTTTCAGTATCATAATAGCGCTCTGACTTTGGCACATGCAGAATCCTTTCACCGACTCTAATGCTACCGACGGGGACGCTGCTGCTTCAGTCAATTCGCGTGACATCCTTTAGGGTCTCGAAGATGATATTAGTGCCCTCTCCATGCAAGACATCAAGCCCAGTGAGAATCGACAATGCGCTGAGCTGAGTCGAGCTGAGCAATTAGGCCGAAAGCTGAGAAAACCGTCGCTCCGACCAGATCTGTGCAGAACTGAGCTCTGTTGAGCTCTGTTGAGTTGAGTTGATTGACAAAGTGACGTATCGATTGGATGGTTCGGTGTCATGTCCTTTGTGTTAGTGAGCGATCGGAGCATTTCAGAGCACAGATGAGCATAGCAGAGCACTCGTTGTACAGTACCGACTATACATGATACATGCCCTATACTAACTATATCAAACCAAACAAACTTCACTACTGAGTACTGCTCCCTCTCGCTCCACGATTCCCGTTTTAATTGTAGTATTGAGGTTCTATGGGAGAGAAATGATTAGGAACCAATGAGATGGCAACGAAACTCACAGTCCAGTCTTCCTCGGGGGCACTAGAGAGTGACTTCCTTGCCTTGTATGAACATGAGACAGAGAAGACATCGTAAACAATGGACGCATACCTTGTTCAGTTCCAGCAAAAGAGTATTCCGGTCTTCTCGTTGAGATACTGTTCAAGTCAGTGAGGTGAGACAAAGGCACGAAGGTTATACGACATACTAAGCACTCTGTCCGCCATCCACCTATAACCGTTCCCGATACTGTTATCCTTTACCTTCATCAAGGCCTTATACATTTCTTGCCGTCTTGTCATCAAGGTCGGACCAGGGGCATTGTACCTCTTGACTGGCGCGTTGATTTATTGGCTGAATGGCCATGAACAAGTAGCTTTCCTCAAGAAAGACATGTTAGTAGAGCTTGAGTATTGTTGGCGTGCGCACCTGCAGAAACTGTACTGGTGGTGGTGGTAGGAAGGAAACCTGTGTCGGCTCTGCGTCGCAGAGCCCGACCTAGAAAATACTGCCGCGCGTAATTTCCCACGCTTAGTTAAACCAGCATACAGGTCGGTGTACATGTAATGTATCTTTATATATGCCGCGTCGCTCAGCTCTGCTCCGATGGTCTCCGAATGCACGCATCAGCTCAGCTCAGCTCAGAATCGCTCATTGTCGATTTTCACTGGGCATCAAGTCCCAAATTTCCCCAATGCTCTTCGTCAAAGTCATCGGTTTCCTTCCATGGTGTGTTCTCGTCGGCGCTGCCATTCTACTTCCCCCTCGCCATCTCGAGGTCGTCGCCTTTTCTCCCGGATACGTCTCTTCTCCCTGGTATCCGTCGATTTGCGTACTGGGCCGGCTGCGGTCTGGCCCATATCATGATCCTCTTGGGCTGTCTCGTACGACAATCGGTATCATGTCGGCGTCCATGCTGTTTGGTCAAACTGTATTGGCTTGGCAGGAGTTGATGGGAGTATTTCGCTTGGGGATGATGATAGACAGTCCATTTATATGGCTTTGAGGATGTCTATGGTAACGGAGGATGAAATGGTGATTCGTCAGGCCCTTTCTGGAGGTGGATTTTGTTCGTTGATGTGTACTGGTGCCGGTAAAGAAGTGACGAGCGATGAAGACGAAGATTAATCTGCCATGTTTTCAAGTCTGACAATATTCCATCTGTTGTATTTTTTCGAGTGGGGTACCATTAATTTCAGTCAACCTTACCGAACGTAGTTTTCCCATATCACCTATGGTTCTGTAAGCAAAATATCGGAGATCGGTAAGAGTTGTCTTTCTAATCTAACATCGCGACTTATTTCCCAGACTCGTCGGGATATGCTGAATCAGATTTATCTGAGTAAGACTACTCAGGCCAAGCTTGCTGCGCCCCTTGGTCGGGTACTGGTTGAGAAACTATAACTATAAAGACACTCGACTGTCTTCCTCCTGGATCCAAAAATTCTCAACAAGTGCCTGCATCAAATCCAAGACAATGCCATCATATGTTGTAGCTGGTGCATCTCGTGGAATCGGTGTAAGTTGTCATATATTTGCTTCATAAAGTCGCTCGGAATCCAAACATTGACTCTTGTTAGTTGCAATTTGTCGTTGATCTCATCGCTCGAGGGGACACCGTCATAGCTCTCGCAAGAAACCCCGAGAAATCGCAAGGCCTGCAAAAGATCAAAGGCCATAAAGGTCTTACTATCCTCCAAGCTGACATCACCGATCCCGCATCGTTGAAGGTAAGATTTCCTCTTACTGTTGAGTGGTTTATCTCCTCAACCCTTTTGTTGTAGGCTGCAGCTGAAGAAACAGCCAAAGTCACTGGAGGCTCTGTCGATGTACTCATTAACAACGGAGTGTACATGGAAAAGACATATATGTTCTACACCCTCATCGATTTGTGAGTTCTTGCACACTAATTTGACGCAAATGCTACTTATAGAATAATTTCTTGCTTTATTAAATTATCGTGTAGCCCTTCGACCGAAGAGTTGATTACAGATTTCACCAAAGCATTCCAGACAAACGTCCTGGGTCCTATTCTCACTACAAATACTTTCCTTCCTTTGCTTCGCAAGGGGACGCTCAAAAGGGTTATTACTCTCGGCACAGGAGCCGGTGATGCCAATTTCATTCTCAAGTCTGGTTACCCAAAGTTTCCCTCTTACTGTGTGTCGAAGAGTGCACTGGAGATGGTCAATGCGAAATATACTGGTAAGTACCTGCTGATCGGTCAAGATCTAATAGCTAACGGTCTGCACAACAGTCGCGTTGAAAGATGAAGGTTTCACGTTCCTAGACATCTCCCCTGGCGTGGTTGATACCGCCGAAGCAGCTCCTTCCAAAGAGGAGCTGAGAGAATTGAACGAGACGGTGACAGCGTTCAAGAGAGCATACCCTGATTGGACTGGGAATCCTATGACCCCTGCTGAAAGTGTTAAGTTGATGTTGGGAATTATAGATAAATTGACAGTGGAAGACTCGGGCAAGTTTGTCAGCCACAAGGTAAGTGTTCTAGTCCTGATTTTGGGGAAAAAATAATGATTTTGAACTGCAGAATAACCGAGAATGGTTGTAGTTTTGTTGGATATGTAGTGTGTATCGACCTAATGTGAACATATTTTTGTTGAAAGAAAAAAGATCCAATCCAAACCAGTCCTCACATGTAGGCTGAACTTTGAGAGTAGCAAAACCGAATTCAAACTATAAGTTGATTTGAATAATCTTGGCTCGAACTCACTCTTCATATGAGTGTTGCGCTCTACTGCCGGGATAAATGAGTGATACATGACCAAGTGTATATGGGAATATTACTTGAATGAGGATCAAATATGTTAATGGCAAGCCTACGGAAATGGAAATAATAGTCTTCTGAATACAGTTACAGGATCACTTAATGCAGTGCTACTTCGGGACATACTAGTGTACTGGGTGTGGGTTGTTTTATTATAAACGATATCGATGTGGACTGTCGACACATAGTATAAGACAGTAGGTTACAACGACTCGAACGGTGGGGGTCAATTTGCAAAATCCATAGAACTTCGTACAAGGGTATTCGGTCATTAGCCATACACCATGATTCTATAATTCACTTGAGCCACTAGTTGCTAGTGTAACCAAGTTAGTGAAAGATGCTATCTATGACCAGCCAACAGCAGGCGCAGCATACCGATTTTTATTCGGACGAAAATTAAGATCGAAACGGGCCCTCAAATGGAGCCAAAACGTCCTGAAAACAGATTTCCGATGAATTCTCTTGATTGGGACATGCGAGTCCGAATTGTCGCGACCTGAACTATAAGAAACTGCGTTGTGCTCCCAACTCAGCCACTCCTACGTATGGAGATCCAATCACGCACCATGCTTAGGCGTCATTTCACTGTATTGAGCACCTGGTTGACCATGCCAATTAGAACCGTTTCTATCGCGAAAAATGTACTGTCCAGAGTCGGAATCATACCCAACCCGCTTCATTCCTTCCGGAAGTCGGTAAGAGTCCTAGAAGGTATGAGTGTTTTGTATCAGTTCGTGGATGAAAACGGGACAGTGTTAGCTAGTGGTTGTTTCGAACCTAACCTCGTCGTACTGTGTCCAGCGGCCCATTTCGAAGACTGATAAAAGTTGAAACCTGAGTAGAGTCTGCCTTGGAAGAAATGGAACTGTAGGATGCACTGAGTCTTAAGAGTAATGTGGAGGAAAGTTGTAGAAAGGTAGGTAGGTAGGTAGGTAAACCGACCCTTG